GGGGCAATGTGCAATATGTGCTATATAAATATAACATTATTATTTTGTTTTTATATATTATCATCATTACCATTATGAGTATAATTCGTGTATAACTAAATGTCATAGGCCTACTTTATGTTTTGACACAATCGACGTGTATTCTTATATTTAGATACACGGTATGGCTATAACCATCGCTCTGTTGTAAATCTGGATTACAGATTACAAATTAAATCGTGAAAAAATACTGAAAATGTCGTCAATATATGATAAATTTTGGTGACATCACTGACTATATGTGTACATAAATTCATAAATTCGAAGTTTGTAAGTATGAATTTCCAATACTAAAAACGGATTATCATAGACAAAATAGATCTCATTTCTGTGCTTGCAGAAAGATAATTTAGCAAGAAACATAAGCCCCTATTTCCCAAACCCCTTAAAATTTCCATTTTTCCAACCACCTTCATAAATATCCGGATCTGCCGCTTGTTATTAGGACCTGTAGTGTAAATGAATTTCAAACAACGATCTCTAATCCTTCCTTTCGATAAAGTTAATAGCGCCGCCTACAAAACATTGGGGCGATTTCACAACGAATAGGCCCTACGCCATCTTAATTATCGTCATTTGTGCCTGAAACATTCTTGAAAATATACGAGCTGAATAATGATCGTTGATTTATGTAAAAGTCATGCATTGCCTACGTTATGACAGATTTCCAAATGTTCTTTAGAGACAAAATGAAATAAATTTCTACAGCAGTTGAGTCATATCTCTATTTATAATTTAGAGACCTCTATATTTTATATTAATATATTATATAATAACATGTCTGTAAACATTAGACAGATACGATATTATAAATATATTATATATATTATTTGAAGTCTGATAAAATTGAGTCATATCTCTATTTATGTGCACAATTATATAGACTATAATACGTTTGTAATCTGTTACGGTAACAGCTCATTTACAAATGTGCTTTAGAGACAAATATGAAATAAATTTCTACAGCAGTTGAGTCATGTCTCTATTTATAATTTAGACTCCTCTATATTTTATATTAATATATTATATAACAACATGTCTGTAAACATTAGACAGACACGACATTTTTACAACGGTTATTCATATCGCTATTTAGGCGTTGTATTTATATGAGGTAACAGACTGAAGTTCGTTTGAGTAAATGTGATAGCAATTTTTAATATAGTTTCTTTTACGAGTAATATGTAAAACTCTGCATTTTTCCGCATTAAGACTCATCAAATTATTTGCACACCATTCAACAATATTATTTGTCTTCTTGTAATAAGGTGGCATCATTTTCACATCTAATAGGTCTAAATACTACCGTGTCATCAGCATATTGTCTGACTTGAGATGAAATATGCATTGGCAAATCAAATACAAACGAGTTAAATAGTAAGGGGCCGAGTACCGACCCCTGAGGTACGCCAGACACCACAACTGTACGGTCTGACAATACCCCATTAAGTGCAATCTGCTGGGTGCGTTCAGTTAAAAATGATGCCATCCATTTCAAGATTGGACCACAAAGGCCGAAATTGTGAAGCTTGCGCAAAAGTTTAGAATGACTCACACGATCAAAGGCTTTCTCCCAGTCGAGGAAGATAGCGTCTACAACTGGGGGATTTGATGCATCTAATATTTTAGACCATTCATGAAATATACTTGCAGTCTGTGTATATATGTGACTATATGTGTACATAAAATTCATAAATTCGAAGTTTGTAAGTATGAATTTCCAATACTAAAAACGGATTATCATAGACAAAATAGATCTCATCTCCGTGCTTGCAGAAAGATATTTTAGCAAGAAACATAAGCCCCCTATTTCCCAGACCCCTTAACATTTCCATTTTTCCAACCACCTTCATAAATATCCGGATCTGCCGCTGGTTATTAGGACCTGTACTGTAAATGAATTTCAAACAACGATCTCTAATCCTTCATTTCGATAAAGTTAATAGCGCCGCCTACAAAACATTAGGGAGCTTTCAGAACGAATAGGCCCTACGCCATCTTAATATACCTTTCCGGAGTGTCAATCAAACTTCACAACTGACTAATCAGAACAACGCTTGGAATACGCGCACGTCTCACAAACACACGTGTTGTCCCACAAACGCACGTGTTTGCGTATATTTTAACATTGTCGTCTTGTGGGACCTTAGCAACAATATCCAATGGGCGGGGCTTAGCGGAAAGGTCCATTATCGTCATGTGCCTAAAACATTCTTGAAAATATACGAGCTGAATAATGATCGTTGATTTATGTAAAAGTCATGCATTGCCTACGTTGTGACAGATAATCTACTGTATGGGAATTATTGACTAAAAAAATGAAGACCGTACGTAACCGAATTCGTTATCGTCTTTGTATGCTTGCGAAACCTCCCTATTGTCTCCTATAACAATATAAAAGTTTATTCCTCTTCAGATCAGTGGGCTGCCAAGATTAGAGGGCATGATATAAAAATGTAATTAATTATTAGTAGATCAATAATCAACATAATAATTTCGATATAATATAACTTTGATGTTTGCGTTAATTAAAAAAATACTATGAGAAAGTTTCAAAAGATTAAAACACTATTATATTAAGTTAATTTTTTTTTTAGTTATTTGGTCAAAATAGGAGTGTACTGTAAGGCCTACAATATATCAAGAGTTCATGAAATAAATTTTAAAAATTACACACAATTCATTATCTGACTAGGTTTTCTACACGTATACAATTACCGTACATCCCAAGTTCATAATTGTTTATAACTCAGCACACTCGTTGGTTTTGAAAGAGGCGTTGAGCCGGCTATCTTCACCATACATACTAGAAATCCTTAATTAATATCAATTCAGTTTAATTCACTTAGGCCTAATAATCATGCTTATTTACACTCATCTTCTTTATTTCTATTTTATCTATATTGCGCAAGTTAAGCCATGTCTGTGCATCTGTCAATTCTTAAACCATGGTTTTAACTACAGTTACGTACTATTTTATATTTGTTGTAAACTTGTCTCGTGCCAATGGAAAGTACATTTCCAAAGCAATTTTTGGACCAATGAAATTATCTTATCTTATCTTAGTTTAACCATAACATAATGTTATGAAAGCCAGCAAAAGTCAATGGGTGGTTGAAACATTTGGGACTTTGGAGAGGAGTAATAATTTTCTCTCAAGAAATAGGCATACCCCCTCAGTTAACAATGCATGTACATCATATAGATGTCGACA